CCCCTTCTAGCTTGCCTTTGTATTGAGTTTGTAGCCTTCACTGGTGTCAGTTTTACATGTAGGACTCTGATCTGTCCCTCCCATCTGTACAGGTGGCTATTTAAGCCAATAGTCTGTAGGCTCTCCAAGGCAGCAGCCAGGAGCTTCATTGCTCACTTGCCTGTCTGGATTAATACTCACCTTTTGTTCTAGACTCAGAATATCCTTAGAAGCTGAACCATTAATTTAAAAAGGTATATTGTATTTTTTTTAGATATTTTATGCAGGAATATTTCAGGATATCTTAAAATGATATTGCTGGGAACAGAATTTCTCTGAGATGTTTTTATTCTGATAATTATTTTTATTTATTTTGTTTAGAGAGGGATGGGGGCTGAGGGGCAGAGGGAAAGGGAGAGAGGCATCTCAAACAGGCTCTAGGCCCAGTGCAGAGCCCAATGAGGGGCCTGATCCTGCAACCCTGAGATCATGACCTGAGGGGCGCCTGGGTGGCTCAGTTAAGCATCCAACTCTTGATTTTGGCTCAGGTCATGATCTCAGGGTTGTGAGACTGAGACCCATGTTGGGCTCCACGCTGGGCCTGGAGCCTGCTTGAGATTCCCTCTCTCCCTTTCCTTCTGCCCTTTGCCCCTGCTTGTATTCTCTAAAATAAATGAATAACTCTTTTAAGAAAAAGTGATTTTCAAGGTAAAACTTAAGGAAAAATAAATTTTAGGATGGTGACACCAATGAATCATTGATGTTTTGAAAAGGGATCAATTTCTAAGATTAGATTGTCGTAGGGAAGCTTTTTTACCTGCTTAGTATTACTGATAAATTTTCAAAAATTGAGAATTTGTGAAATATTTCTTTTTATTTTGAAGGTTCATATGTTTCACAATATAATATAGATAAAAATACTTCCCATTAATTATCAGGGATATGGCCATATAATGACTTTGCCCTTAGGAGGCCCAGCTAGAGCACAAGTCTTTCTATAGGAAATAAGTTTAGTAGAAATATGTTTACTTAACATTTCTCAAATAATTCCATTCACATAGCTTTCACAGTTATTATTTTCCCTATCTTAACTTTTGTTCTTCAGCCTTCCTTTCTTCTCTACCCTTTTCCCCTTTTTTTACCTGCTACTCATCTCATCCTTTAGATCACAACTTAAATATGATTACACCAGAGAAGTCTTCCATGACCACCTTCATCCACCCACTCAAAGACAGATGCACCCGCATGCATTTGCGCACACACACACACACACACACACACACGTAGTAAGTACGTCCTTATGATGTTTTTGAAAATTGTCCTCTTCTTCATAGTACCTCTTCTGAGTTTTATATTTATTATAAAAAGTTACTTTTAAAATTCTGATCTTTCCTGCTACCCTCCATGAATGCTTCTCTTATTCATTTATCATTGTGTCCTTAGTGCCTGGTATAGACTAGGCACCTAGTAAATATTTGGTGAATGAATCAAGAAGTTCTGTTACTGTTGGGGCACCTGGGTGGCTCAGTTGGTTGAGCATCCGACTCTTGATTTCAGCTCAGGTCATGATCTTAGGGTCTTGAGATCGAGCACTGTGTCTGGCTCTTTGCTGGGTGTGGAACTTGCTTGGTATTCTCTCTCTCCCTCTTCCTCTGCCCTTCCCCCAGTTCTTGCATGGATGCTCGCTCTCTCTCCCTCTCTCAAAAAAAAAAAAAAGGAAGAAGAATAAGTTCTGTAACTGTTGAGTGCCAGGTACTTTATTATTGCTACCTGAGGGCTAACATTTATTTCTAGAAGCTAAGTCTTCAGATAATTTGTTAACCATAGTTGATGATGTTATTTTAGGGCCAGTATAATGATTCTGAGTTCTGTTTCAGATGAAGGTATTTATATTGTTATGTGTATTTAAAATGAAGATTTAACTATAAAGCATAAATCCCCAAATCATTTGAAATGATAAAATTTTTCTCCATATCCAATAGAATAGGCATAGATGCACTGCAGGCATTAACCCCCTATTTTATAAGTAAACCCAGTGTACTTTATGTTGTCATTACTTGGAGACTACAATGAGGAGCCCTCACGTATTTTGATATGAGGTAAATATAACACATCAATAGTCTAACCTTTAAGAACACAGATTTTATATATAGGTATTATATATATATAATTTTTTTTCCCAAAGTCATGTTAAGGCAGTGGATCACAAACTGTGGTCTTAGGCTTCTGGGAAGTTTCCAGGACCTTTTCAGGTCCATGAGGTCAAAACTGTTTTCAAGACAGTACTAAGATTTTACTTACTTTTTTCCACTGTCATTTTCTCACAAGTGTAGGATGAAGTTTTCCAGAGGTACCTGATATGTGATATTGTATTAGATTGAATGAAGAAGCAAGCAGATAAGAGAATCAAACCATCTTTTATTAAGCTAAAAATTAAAGATGTTTGCAAAAATGTCAAGCAATGTTACTCTTATTTTAGAATAACTTACTCTTGTAAACATCTGGTAGAGTAGAGGTTCTGAGACCATTGCTTTACGAAGACAAAAAATTCCCAGGTCTACTAAATGCTCACTGTACTTCATTAAATCTTAAAAGAATGTGTCCATCACAATCTGGGTTGATTAATAATAACAGAATATTAAAAATATTGGAAACCACCATGTTTTGTTACTGTTTTTCACTGAAGAAGAGAGTTGCAGCTACCAGTAAATCACATCTATTGGCAAAGCCAATTGTTAGAAAACTGGATCAGATTATCTTAAACTAATACCATTAAATATTGGATTTTTCTTTCTCCTCTTGTTTTGATTCGTTCTCCATGTAGTTTTTGGTTGTGTAGTAGTTTTATGGTCATAGAATCAGAACTGGGATGACCTCATGCAGGTCTATCTACAGACAGAAAATTTGCTGAATACATAAATTCAGAAATATTTTTTGAATGATAACTTGCCTTATTTTCAGTTAATATTGGGATCTGAGTGGTGCTTCTTCATAGGGATAAGGTGCTGACGTATGGATTTAATATTCTGGTTTGTGTGACAGTTATTTCTCGTCGTAAATGTATAAATTGGCACTCTGGTTTTTATGTATCAGTTTTTTTTTTAAAGATTTTATTTATTTTAGAGAGAGAAAGCATGAGAGGGGGGAGGGTCTGAGGGAGAAGCAGACTCACTGCTGAGCAGGGAGCCCGATGTGGGGCTCGATCCCGGGACTCCAGGATCATGACCTGAGCCGAAGGCAGTCGCTTAACCAACTGAGCCACGCTATGTATCAGGCACCCTATGTATCAGTTTTTTTAGCCATGGCTAATATCAGTCTTTCCTTAAGATCCATATTTAGTGTGTTGGCAAAATCAGACTTTGGGGCTTATAAGGACAAGGGTTATATATACTCTGGGCTTTAGTAAATTCATCAAGCCACTTGGAATATCATGTGACAGTTTATGAATTAATAAATATCTTAGCTCTAGAGATTACTAATATTTTTTAAATGATTAAACTTTGTTTTAGATCAGTTTTAGGTTCACAGCAAAATTGAGCAGAAACTGCAGAGGGTTTCCATGCCAATTTTAAAAAGTTCATTTTTTCAGTATCTGAGAATAGAATTTCTTTGAGATTGAGATTTTTTCTTATACCTTGAACCTTTTTAAGGAAGGCTGAGTTGTTGCTAGAATTATAAAACAAATATTCTAAGAGCAGACAGTGATGATCCAAATCATGCCATTGACCATTAGGCTGCTAGAATATGAGAGTGAGAATTTTGGAATGGATTTGTTAGATGAAAGAAAGGAGCAAGTAATGTAGATTGCTAGGGAATTAATAATAATAAATAAATAAAAGGATTGCCAAACTACATTAAATATCCTGTTGATATTATACATTAACTTTTCATCATTATCTTGGAAAGCTGATTTTCTTGGCTAGTTTCTTTCAGATAAAATAGTCATTTGAGCCCATTATTATTATTAAATACACCTACTGATAGCCGTATAGGAGGAAGTGCCAGGCTTTGGGGTAAAGGTCTTGTGACTTTTAGAGTTGAAATTAATAAATACTGGTTGTAAAAGGAAAAATTAAAAGCAATTTAATTCCTTTTTTTTTTTTTTTGTAAAGAGAAAGTCCAGTGAAAATGTTAACACATGAACACAAATATGCATGATGAAAGGAATTTGGGTCGTGAGCTGGAGTACTTTTACTGTTTATTTTTGCCTGTCTGAATTGTATAAAAAAGTTTTTTTATTGTGAAAATGTAGTATTTTTGTGATGAAGAGAATATTTACTTTTTTTTAAAAGTTAAGGCAACCCAGAAAGTACATAAAGGAAAGAATAATTGTAAGGTATTCTTTTTAATTATTTAAGTATTTTGCCTTATTTAACTTATTTAACATTATTTATTGTATGTAAAATGAAATAAAGCTGTATCAGTTTTTCTTATGTGTTTATAGTTGCCTTTTTCATGTAATTTGTATTACTTCTTGGAATCAGATTTAATTTTTAATTTAACTCATCGAAATTTATTTCAATAGTAATCTAAAAACAATGTTATAAAACTATGATTTATTATGAAAAGTGATATTTACATTGAGCTTTGTAGGAGTATAGTTATTTCATGAAACATGGAATATTTTCATTCTGAGATAGTACAAGTGAAACAAATCTTTGCTCTTGTACTTGAAATCCATGTCTATCTACCAAAAGCATTTCTTCCTTTTTTTTTTTTTAATATTTTATTTTTAAGTAATCTCTACACCCAATGTAGGGCTTGAACTCCTGACCCTGAGATCAAAAGTTGCATGCTCTTTTGACTGAGCCAGCCAGGCACCCCTGCTGAAAGTATTTCTATGTCCATATATTTACAAATTTTTTGGAAACAAAAGGCTTTTTCTGACCTTGGATTGGTTGACTTTTAACTCTTTAAAAATCATTTATATCATACTTTATAACAAGATAAAAATGTATGTATTAGTGGTTTGTGGCAAAGTGAAATGTATAATTATGTGTGTTCTCTTTTTTTTTCACTAGGCATTTTTATTACCAATTTGTGAAGCAGCAGCTATGAGAAAAGTGGTAAAAGTATATCAAGAATGGATCCAGCAAGAAGAAAAACCTTTGTTTATGCAAGAACCAGAAGAAATTGTGATCTCTTCTTCGGACTTACCTTGTATTGACAATGTCACAGACCATGTTATTTCAGTGGAAGAAGGAGAAAAGAGAGAAGAGGTAAACTTATATGACTTAACATATTTTAGTATACGTTTAATAGATTTTCACAAAAGTGTAATAATATGTTGAGATACATATACATAATGGGAAGTTAAAGATACCTTTTAGTATATTTTGCAACATAGGTAATACAACAGTTACCACAGTACTCTGTCCTAATGCTCTTTGATGTCACAACTTTAAAAAATTACTCTTGAGATTGTGTACTGATTCTTTAATTCATTGTATAGATCAAAATTAGATGCCATTTTAAAAGGTGTAATATTTGAGACTGTTAGGAGGATGGCAGAGTATATGCAGATCCTGAGCTCACCTCTCCCCACAAACACAGCAAGACTGCAACTACATAAAAAGGAACTCTGACTGAGAAAGACCTGAAGACTAGGAGACCAGCTCTTGCACAGCTAAAGATAAAAAGAAAAAGCCACAGGGTGCCTGGCTGGCTCGGTTGGTAGAGTGACTCTTAATCTCCGGGTTGTGAGTTCAAGGCCCATGTTGGGCATACAGCTTACTTAAAAAAAAAAAGGGGTGGGGGGGAAGCCACCTTGAGAAGGGTAAAGTGTGACAGAGATGAGGTCAGGTTGGGAACCAAACCCCCAGTCTGGTGACCCACAAGTGATTTGATGTCGCAGGCCCAGAGATCCTACCTGAGAAGCAAGGGATTTAAGCACCCTGTCATACATCCCCGCTGTAGAGATCTGCACAGGAAAAATGAGACCTCCCCACAACATCTGGCTTTGAAAATCAGCAGAGCTGAACTTCAGGAGCTTTGAAAATCATTGAAGCTTAACTCTGGGACAACCAGGGGGCTATAGGAAACAGACAGTGCTCCTGAAGGCCCCACCCACAATTTCACACACTCTGAGATCCAGCACAGAGACAGTAGTTTGCAGAGCTTTGAGTTTGAGATGTACATGAAGGATATTTTTTGACTGAATCAAAAGTATACCAGAGGGAATCAACAACTGGGGAGAGGGTACAGAAGAATGGATCAGTGATCTGGAAGACAGAATGGTGGAAATACCCAAGCTGAGCAGCAAAAGAAAAAAGAATTTTATATAAGATAGGGTGAGGGACTTCTGGGGCAACATCAGAAGTATTAACATTTGCATTATAGGGGTCCCAGAAGAAGGGAGTGAGAAAGGGGCAGAAAACTTATTGAAGGAAAAACAGCTGAGAACTTTCCCAAACTGAGAAAGGAAACAGACATCCAGGCTCAGGAAGCATAGATAGCCCCAAATAAGATGAACCCAAAGATGTCCACATAGGAATTAAAATGTCGTAAGTTATATAGAATTTTAAAAGCAGCAAGAGAAAAGCAACTTCCATACAAGGGAACACTTACAAGACTCTCAACTGAGTTTTGAGCAGAAACTTCGCAAGCCAGAGGGAATGGCATGATGTATTTAATGTACTCTAAGGAAAAACCTACAGCCAAGAATACCCAGCAAGGTTATAATTCAGAACTGGAGATACAGAGTTTCTCAAACAAAAGTTAGAGGTGTTCATCACCACTGCACCAGCCTTATAGGAAATGTTAAAGTGACTTCTTTATGCAGAAAAGAAAAAGCCATAACTAGAAGTAAAAAAATTATGAAAGAAAACATTTCCCTGGTGTTAAAAAGTAGGGGAGGGACAGTAGAGTACTCCCCAAGCTGAGAAGACACTTTGAGACTGGAAATCAAAGAAGGCAGCTTCCATACGGTTTACAGAGTTTTGTTCAGGGTAGCTTGTTGATGAGGTGATCAGGCAGATGAGGATCCAGGTGCTGTACAGCTGTCCTCCACAAAGTCTAGACCTTAGTCTGTAGATTTTATAGAGCAAGAGATATGCAGAAGGGCATTACTATGTGATGAGAGGGTTCACATGCACTTAATTGACAGTTGACCTTTTAATTGGATCGTGTGGTGTCACCTGTGCATCAGGAAGGATAAAGACTGCATCATCTCTAACAGATTCATGGGCAGTCAAAGCAAGCTTCCCCCATCCCAGCCTTGGCAGGTATTTCTAACATATGTATCTTAATCTCCAAGGGCCTGGAACATGCATCCCCAAGAGAGGTCACCAAGCAAATAAAAACAAGATGGAGGGCCAACAGTGGAGTCAGTATTGTCAGCACTTCTACAACTGGAAAAAGCAAACATATAATAAAGGAAGTAGGTCAGTCACTTAAAAAGCTAGCATGAAGGTTAAAAGAAAAAAGTAGTAAAGTCAACTATATTTACAGTAACTAGGTAAAGGAAACACAAAATAAAAGCATGTAAAATGTGCCAGACACATAATATGTGGCGAGGGGGAGGTAAAAATGTAGTCCAATTAGAATGTGTTTGAACTTAAGTGATCATCAACTTAAAATAGATGACTAACACATAGGGTGTTATACATAAACCTTAACGGCAATCACAAACAAAAAAACCTGTAATAGGTCCCCCAAAAATAAAGGAATCCAAGCACAAAACTGAAGATAGTCATCAAATCACAAGAGAAGACAGCAAGAAAGAAGAAAGGAACATAGAAGAATTACAAAAACAGCTAGAAAACAATGAACAAAATGGCAGTAAATATATACCTATCAATAATTAATGTACATGGACTAAATGTTGAATCAAAAGTCATAAAGTAATTGAATAGATTAAAAAAAAAAAACACCCATCAGTATGCTACCTACAAGACACGTACAGACCGAAAGTGATGGGATAAAAAAGATACTCTATGCAAATGGGAATGATCAGTAGAGCTGGGGTAGCAATACTTGTATCAGACACGATAAAGACTGTAAAAGAGACAGAGAAGGGCATTACATAATGAAGGGAGCAATCCAACAAAAGAATATAATATTTGTAAATATATATGCATCTAGCATGAGAGCATCTAAATATATAAAGCAGATATTTAGAGAAATTGACAGTAATACCATAATGGTAGGGAACTTTAACACCCCACTTACATCAATGGATAGATTGTCCCGACAGAAAATTAATAAAAAAATAGTGGCTTTGTTTGAGACATTAGATCAGATGGGCTTAAGCAAATATGTACAGAACATTCCATCTAAAAACAGGAGAATACGCATTTTTTATAATGCACATGGAACATTCTGCAAGATAGGTCACATATTAGGCCACAGAACAAGTCTCAGTAAATTTAAGAAGATCAAAATCATATCAAGCGTCTTTTCCAACCACAATATTTATAAAACTAGAAATAAATTAGAAGGAAAAAACTGGAAAAAACACAAAGACATAGAGAATAAACAACATGCTACCAAATAAGCAATGGGTCAGTGAAGAAATTAAAAAAAAAATACCTTAAGGTAAATAAAAATGAAGACATTACTAAATCTTTGGGACACAGCAAAAGCAGTTCTAAGAGAGAAGTTTATATAAATACAGGCCTACCTGAATAATCAAGAAAAATCTCAAGTGAACAATCTAACCTTATACCTAAAAGAACTAGAAAAAGAAGAACAAAGCCCAAAATTAGTAGCAGGAAGTAATAAAGATCAGAGGAAAAATAAATGAAACTGGCTGACTAAAAATACAATAGAAAAGATTGATGAAACTAAGAGCTGGTTCTTTGAAAAGATAAACAAAATTGACAGAACTTTAGCCAGACTTGTCAAGAAAAAGAGAGAGGACCCAAATAAATAAAATCAGAAATGAAGAAGTAGTAACAACCTATACAATAGGAATACAAAGGCTTATAAGAGACTACTACAAAAAATTATATGCCAACAAGTGGAACAGCCTAGAAAAAGAATAAATTCCTAGAAACATACAGTATTCCAAAACTGAATCAGGAAGAAATAGAAAATCTGAACAGGACAATTACTAGTAATGAAATTGATTTTGGTAATCAAGAAACTCCCAACAAACAAAAGTCCAGGACAAGATAGGTTTACAGTTAAATTCCATCAGGCATTTAAGGAAGAGTTGATACCTGTTTTTCTCAAACTTATTCCAAAAAATCGAAGAGTAATGAAACCTTCCAAATACATTCTATGAGGCTAGCATTACCGATACCAAAACCAGACACAGATGCTACAAAAAAAGAAAACTATAGACCAATATCCTTGATGAATATAGATGCAAAAATCCTCAACAAAATATTAGCAAATTGCATTCAGAAATATATTAAAAGAATCATTCACTACGTTCAAGTGGGATTTATTCTGGAGATGTAGGGATGGTTGAGTATTTGCAAATCAGTCAACATGATACACCATATTAACAAAAGGAAGGGTAAAAACCATATGATCATTTCAGTAGATGCAGAAAAAGCACTTGACAAAATTCAACATCCATTTATGATAAAAACTCTCAACAAAGTGGGTTTAGAGGTAACATACTTTAATAAAGACCATATATGAAAAACCCATGGCTGACATCATACTCAGTGTGAAAAACTGAGAGCATTTCCTCTAAAATCAGGAATAAGGCAAGGATGTCTACTCTTATCACTTTTATTCAGCATAGTATTGGAAGTCCTAGCCAAAGCAATCAGATAAAAAGAAATAAAAGGCATCCAAATTATTATTATTATTTTTTAAAATTTTATTTATTTATTTGATAGAGCAGGAACACAAAGAGGGGAGTGAGAAAGGGAGAAGCAGGCTTCCCGCCGAGCAGCGAGCCCAATGTGGGGCTTGATCCCAGGACGCTGGGATCATGACCCGAGCCGAAGGCAGACGCTTAACGACTGAGCCACCCAGGGGCCCCAAAGCATCCAGATTATTAAGGAAGAAGTAAAATTGTCACTATTTGCAAATAACATAGGGTTATACATAGAAAACATTAAAGATTCCACACAAAACTGTTTAATAAATTCAGTAATGTCACGGTATACAAACTTAATATACTGAAATCTGTTGCATTTCTATACATTAATAACAAAGTAGCAGAAAGAGAAATTAAGAAAACAATTCCATTTACAATTGTGCCAAAAAGAATAAAATACCTAGGAATAAATTTCACCAGTGAAGTGAAAGACCTGTACAC